GTAGTTCTTTTGTTTTTCCCTTAGCACATGCATCACAAATTTTATCAAGATCAAATTTTATCTTAGGCAAACATCTTACTAGATTACCTTGAACAAGATTTTGTAAAATACTTATTCTAGCATGTCCAAGTTTCCTATGCCATAGCCAACAATCATGCTCATCCTTGGCAACCAAACAAACATTTGAAATATCAATGTTCTCTATATGTACCATGTGGATATTTCCTACCCTATGACCAACAAGTGTAATCTTATTAGATGCAATGGCAATAATTTTACAACCATTAGACTCAAATAAGACATTGTAACCCTTATCACATAATTGACTAATACTAAGTAGATTATGCTTTAACCCATTAACATATAAAACATTTTCAATAAGTAAGGAATAGTTGTTACCAACATCACCATTCCTTCAATGTGATATTTTTAGTTCTCACCAAAGGTTACTACTCCTCCACTTTTAGTTTTAAGCTCCAAGAATCGACTCCTATCATCGGTCACGTGTCTTGAGCATCCACTATCAATGTATAATGAATTTGAACTTTTACTTTGTGCCTTGTAGCGTTGCTCCTCCTACAAACATATATTAAGTTTTAATTTTTGGTACCCAAATTCTTTTGGGTCCATTGACATTAGTTCCCAATAATCTTGACCTATTTGGTATCCATTTTTCAAGGATATCCTTATTATTAGTAGCAATAAGACCTTTGGGGACCCAAATGCTTCTAATAATTTTTTATATGAGGTTCTTTGTAGACCTCTATGCTTGTAATGATTAAAGCTACTTTTAGCATAGTTGAACTTTGAATGTTCATATTTTTCAAATATTTGTGTCCCAACATTGTTAAAAGAAGCTTTAAGATCATCAAGCTTCTTTTGATGATCATCATGAACCTTTGAAAGTAAGTTACGTAAGTCTTGATTTTTATTTTCAAACTCTTCAAGTCTGACTTGCATATTTTTAAACTGACTTTCAATCTCAAGACTAGTCTTAGAAAGGAGAACATTTTTATCTTTTAATTTTAAAATATTTTTCTTATGCTCTGAAATCATGTTCTCAAATTCTAAGGATAATTTATCATAAGCCTCTTGTAATTCATCAAAGGAGTAATCATTTGAAATAGATGAATTAGAGGTTATCTTAGAATCATTCTCTATAGCCATGAAACACAAGTTGGCTACTTCTTCCTCTTCATCATTGGAGGATTCATCATCACTCCATGTAGTTACATGTGCCATGTGTTTCTTCTTGGAGGATCCCTTCTTTTTCAGTTGTGGGCATTTAAACTTGACATGCCCAGGCTTTTTACACTCATAGCAAATAATAGGATCCTTCTCATTGGATTCATTTTTGAAGCCCTCTTTTCTTTGAAATATCTTTCCTTTCTCGGACCTAATGAATCTCTTGAATCTTTTGGCAAACATTGCTATTTCTTCATCTTCATTTAAGTCTCATTTTTTTTGTAGACTTGAGAGCAACAACAAACTTTTTCTTCTTTTCAACTTTTTTCTTTTACTCATCTTTCTTCTTTTGTTCTTCTTCTTCTTCATTCACCATCATCTCATGAGTGATAAAATACCCAATGAGCTTATCTAGATTGAGAGTCTTTAGATTCTTTACTTCAACAATGACGGTCTTCTTGGATTGCTATGACTTGGGAAGGCTATAGATCATCTTCCTAACAAGCTTATCATTAGGAATGACTTCACCAAAACCTTTGAGACCATTTACAATAACCGAGAATCGATCGGTCATGCTTTTAATATCCTCATCCGATCTCATTTTAAAGTTTTCATAATTATGATTGAGAAGACTAATCTTAGTTTCTCTTACCTTGTTAGTTCCTTCATGAGTAACTTCAAGTTTGTCCCAAATCTCCTTGACATTGGAAAAATCATATTCATCGAGGCCAAGTGCACAAAATAGAATGTGCATTGCCTTTGCATTGAGTTAAAACGATCTCCTCCCTTCTTCACTCCGTTCCTTCATTGATCTTATTGGAGTAGAATGTCCACTCAAAATGATGCTTCAAGCTCTCAAATCACTAGCTTGTATGAAGAGCATTATCCTAATTTTCCAATAGGCATAGTTGGTTCCATTGAAAAAATGAGGCTTGTTGATAGGTTGGGAATTATTGATGTCGTTGAAGCTTGGTGTAGAGGCCATGGATGACTTGAATAATGATTTGACTCTTCTAGGATATCCTCAAGAGATGGTAAAACCTTCCAATGAGTCTAGATCTAGTACCAATTATTGATCAATCAAATCAATAAAATGGCCAAAAGGGGGTGAATTGGCAATTGGAAAACTGATGGAAGCTTTTTGCAAGAAAATAAAAAATTGACACAAGCAATTTTAGAATGGTTAAACTTCTTCAATGAAGTATACATACACTACCTTAGCTTATACACTAAGGATTTCAACAAATCCACTAATTTGTTCTAACCTTTTAGGATAAGGTGTAACCTTACAACACACTTAGACTTATACCCCAAAGTCTCAAGTGTACAACCCTTCCTAAGAAGAAATTAAAAAGAAGCAAACTTTTGAATATCCTCACAAGATAAGATGTTTGCAAATTGAAGCTCTCACACACCCAAGAACACTAGAATGAAAACTACAAAGAATGGTTATATGTAAGAAAGATAAAATGGATTACAAATTTGGCTCTAAATGCTCTTTGATTGTTGGAATAGCTTTCTTGTCTTTTCTTGGCTGTTTGAAGATCCCTTTTATATGTTATCATTGATTTCTAGTCGTTTGTGGTTGTTGGAGGGAGTTTGGAGCCGTTTGAAGCATTAAATTCATGCATTTAAGGCTACATGCACACAAAGTTTTGAAACTCTAGGGAAAGTTTTGAAACTCTTTGAAATATGAATTGAAAAATATGATCGTTGGACCCAAAGTATCGAAACTTTAAAGAAAGTTTTGAAACTCTTGAGATAGTTTCAAAACTATAGGAAAGCTTAAAAAAAATTTAGGCTACTGTTTGGAAGTTTCAAAACTCTTGTAGAAGTTTCGAAACTTCTGGTCAATGTTTGTTTAAAAAGATAGTTTTTGACATTTTGAGAAATATAAGAATTTGAAAATTATTTTAAAGTATTTGAATGATATTTTTAATATAACTTGAACTTAAAAGACTCATTTTAAAGATTTGACAAATTTTAGGGACTCAAAATTAATTTTACAAAATTTATTATATTTAATGTTATATCAAAATCATTTATGTTAATCAACATAACTCCTTCATGTGGCCAAACCTGCCACAAGAAAAGTAGATTAGTGGCATATTCTTATATTCAACATTTTGGATCTTACCTCCGATGACAATCCATGAGATTAGCGGCTTCATGAGGTTGAAATAAACAACTAGGCGTGCGAATCTTCTACGCTTACTCATAGCTTTGTGGAAATCCAGCTTAACCACTTTCCTGATGAGTTCCCTGATGTTAGTTAAGATTGATCACTCGTACATATATTTTGGGAGCCCAGGAAAGCAAATCCAGGCAATAACTGTGGTAAGGTAGGGCTGGGTGGTGCTGAACTCCCTCGTCCATGGTTGAACCGTAAGGTATTGACCATACACTATCCAAGGGCTCTCAGCCAGTACCTTTGCATAATCCTCCTCTTATTGAAATCTCGCTAGAAAATAACCATTTTCCAAGTCCATTAGCATGAAAGTTCCAGTCAGTTTCCGAAGGGCGTACACTTTATTATTTAACTCGTTTAGGCCGATGTTTCTACCGAGTATTTTCAAGACAGCGGTGCGAGTCATACTTGCCTTCATTATCTTGTAGACTCTATCCGAGAATTAGATTGAGGGCAATCCAAATTAAGTACCCGTGGAAATATCTCCCTCCGCGATCTCAACATCATATTCTTCCTCATTCTGGTTCCCTTCAAAGGTCGTTCCATTCTTGGATTTACCATCTAGCACTGCCACATACGTTGGGGTATTCTCCACAAGATTACCAACCACCATATCCAATCCCTGATCGTACGACGGTGAGGGCTCCTTAAGCCAGACTTTCTTGGTGGCTTCATCGTTAGCCGATGAAATCTCAGTCGCTTCAGAGGACGTTAGAGGGTTCATCACTTCTTATGTTCGGATGTACAATATTATCTTTTACTAAACAACTGAAAGAACGAATAGCCTCTCCTTTTCTTCCTTAGTATTCTAAATATCATTCTTTTTATGACTAAGGTCACCTAATAAATTTTATGTTTTAAAACTTAAAATACGTTAGTTTAAAATATATTCAAATTAAGTTAGTTAAAAAAACCTTAACCGCTCTCTACTTTCCCTCTTTCTCGTCCTCTTTTTTTCTTTGAGGTTGTGTCGTTTTTTATAGATCAGATCAATTTTTCTTCTTTGATTTTGTTTAGTTGGTGGCAACACTAGTTTTGATGTTGGATTCCCATCTTCGGTTCTTTTCTCTCTTTTTTTAATAAGAATAATTCTACCTTTGTGACATGTTTATCTCTTCCTTTGCGACACATTTATCTCTACCCTTATGGCATATTTTTCGTTCTTTTATCGATCATTTGACTGTTTTTTTATTTTTATTTTCTTATGGTTGAATTTGATGACGCCATGATTGATTAAGATGATGCTATTTGAAATCATGTTGATCTTCCCCGTTATGGACATTCGGATTAAATTTGGATACGTGATTTTGCATTCGTAGTTAGTTACTCACGACGCTCGGCTCTGAAATGAGGACCAATTTAGAATGAGTCATAGTTTTGGGATGAAATTAAAATGTTTAAAAGTTTAAGTACTAATTTGAAATAAGGATCATAGTTTGGTACATAAGATGCAATTAACTCTTTATTAAGCCTTATATAAACACAATTTGTGAATTATTTATTTTTCATTTATCTTACGCGTCATTTCATCATTACTAATTGTTGGACCCACAGAACGCAGGAGGAGGAAAAAAAAAGTTGAAAATGAAGATGAATGGATGGATTCATTTCCATGTTGACCCACAGCGCCATTAGTCTCCTTCAGCACATCCCTCGGTAGCCCTAGGGTTTACTTTCCTTTCCGGCTTTCTCTTCCTTTCGATTTTTCGTTTAATTTCAGTCTCCTCCCCCCTTCCCCAAAAAAAAAGTCTACAAAGAGGAGGAAGATCTTCACGCTTACTTTAAAATTACAAAATCTGGTATGTTTTTTATTCTCTTTCGTTCACAGTTTCGTTTGAATTTTCACTTTCGCTTTGTACCTGCACTTTTAATCTAGTTGCTGTGAAATTTATTGAATTTTATGGTGTGGGATTTGCTTTTTTGGGCTAATTATTTTGTAAATGTTTGATCTTTGTTGCACTCTGCTAATCTGAGATTTTTTTTTTAAGTTGGAAGTTTGATGGGTTGAGTTTGGACATTTTATCTTTATGATGCAGGAAGCTGAGTTAAGTTTTTTTGTCATTTCTGAAGGGACAGATTTGGTGAACTTATATTTTAGGGTTTTTGGTTTTGGAGAAAAGGTTGCCTTTTTTCTCGTTGAAGACAGATTTAGGGTTTGGTTTTTGGTGGAGATTTGAATTTGGAATCCCGAACTTTGATGCTTTTTTTATTACTGCACCCTTCTGGATATCTAGAGAAAGTTGACACTGTTTCGCAATCCCTTTTTTGCTGCATATTGTTGTGAAAAATTTTCTAGCTGTTGCTTGAGTTTGAATTTTAAGGTTTTGAGATCGGCTGTTGAAGGTTTCGAATGGTTCGACTTTGTGGGTGTCTGGGAATTTGGGATCACTTTGCTGTAGTTCACTGTGCAGTTTAGTTTTTTTTTTTTGAAATGGACAATTCGAAGAATCGGCTTAATGATCATCTAGGCGTGAACAAAATTGGCAAGAATATAAAGAAGAGCCCATTGCATCAACCTAATTTTGCTAATAATGCAGCTAGGCAGCAGCCTCAGCCCCAGGTTTACAATATTAGCAAAAATGATTTCCGGAATGTTGTTCAGCAGCTCACCGGTTCGCCTCTGCATGATGATCCTTTGCCAAGGCCCCCACAGAATTCTCCCAAACCCCAAAGTATGAGGTTGCAGAGAATTAGGCCTCCACCATTGACACCAATCAATCGGCCCCGTATCCCTCCTCCGATTCCAGCCCCTGCTCCTGCTCCTGCTCCTTCTCATGCACCAGCGCTAGTTCCACCTCCCGTTTCTTATAACGCTGGCTTTGTTAGACCTGGTCAATATGGACAACCATTGCCCACAATGTTGCAACCTGGAGATGCTCTATGGGCAAACACAGCTGAATCTCCTATATCAGCTTATATGCGATACCTTCAGACTTCTCTTATAGATCCAAGTCCAGTTGGAAATCAAGGCCATCCTCAACTACACCCTCCAGTTCCAGCGCAACCTAATGCTCCACCACCATCTTCCGGTTTGCTTCACAATCCACCGATGCCGGCAATCCCTTCCCCGAGAGGAGTAAATGGTCCACCAATGATGCCTAATCTCCCTTCTCCACGAATGAATGGTCTCGTACCACCAATGCCCAATATTCCATCACCAAGGATGAACGGGCCTGGTCTTTTACCTTCACCGACATCTCAGTTCCTTTTGCCATCACCTTCTGGCTATATGAATTTGTTGTACCCCCGCACCCCTTACGGGTTGCTTTCTCCTGGGGTTCAATTTCCTCCATTGAGTCCCAATTTTACTTTCTCCCCATTGACTCAGCCAGGGAGTTTAGGTCCTGGGCCTCAACCCCCACCTTCTCCTGGTCTTATGTTTCCATTGTCTCCTGGCTTTTTCCCATACCCAAGCCCAAGATGGAGGGATCAATAATCCAAGATATTTCATTGTTGTTCACATGAGTTCCATACTCATTGAGGAATTTGGACCTTCTTCATACTGGATCATCTCCTTCTCATCCAAGTTCGGTCGGAAAGTATAATGTATACTGCTCGTGTAAATGTTTCTTTCTTTATTTGTTGTCTCTTTTGTAATGTCCATACTCCATATCCATTTCTCAAGTTGTTTGCACTTAGGCTACATAACAGTTGCAATGCTCTCTGTATTCTTGGACAAGTTTTACATAGGAAATAGCGATGATTGGATAATTAAGTTTGAACAGCCTGACAGCAGCTGTAACTTGAAAGGAGCATAGGGTCGAGCGTAAAAAGAAAAATAGGTAGGCAAAATTTAGTTGAAAATTTCTTTTGTAATGGTACTGTTGTGAATCCTAATTAGTTTAAGTTGAATTCTTGTTCATTAGTGAGCATGCGGCAATAAAATATTCAAGCATGTTATTCAAAATAAAGGCAGATGGTATTAAAAGTGAAAACTCTACTTCTGCCCAAGATGTTTAAGTGAAGTGTGATGATGCTCAACTGTTCCTCTTGTTTGGTTGTGTTGCCAGAGATATTGTTATACATGTTGGGGTTTCCAATACATCATCATGCATGTAGTTAGAAACTAAACTGATTATTGAAATGGTGTGATAATAATAATCATGTATCATAGATTTGAAGACCTCTCAGATAAATGAATTTACAAGGTAATATATGTTCAGGAACCATGAATTTACAAGGTAATATATGTTCAGGAACCATGAATTTACAAGGTAATATTTGTTTAGGATTTTTCTTAACCATTGACAATGTATATGCATTCTGTAGACGTAAGTACTCGAACTTAGGAACTCAAGGAAACATACCACTCGTTATAACCACTTAGATCACTTAACGAGTTAACGTAACATCAGATCACCGAAAATATGATAATCGAACTCAACATGCATCTGATTGATATGAACCCGAACCCGAGATTAATATGGTAGTATTACCTGATCTGTTATGAACATGACCTGCAATTGACTTAACTTGTAAATTTATTGAACTAATATGATATTTACCTGACTTGATATTTACCTGAGTTATAAATTACCTTTGATAAAATTATAAGATTTTGATGAAGTTGTGAGATTTTGAGTTTATAATAAAGCATGCTAATTAATATGATTAATTTTTAAATGTTATAATAAAATATTAATAATGATAATTAAATTAATAAAATATTTACTTACTATATTAATTATGATTCTTAAGTTATAAATCTTAGTTATAATCATTAAATTAATTTTATTAAGTCATTTATTTATTGAACATGATTAATTAAATTAATTATAATAATTACAAGTTAAAAAAATTTATTGGCATTGAACATGATTAATTAAATTAATTATGATTATTAAAAGTTAAAATAATTTATTTATTGAACATGGTTAATTAAAAAATAATTTAAATATTTATAAGTTTAATTTATGTTTCATGTAATAATTAATAAATAATGTAAAGATAATTTATCTGAAAATTTTAATATATATATAAAAGATAATATAAAAGATGAATTTAATTGATATTGAAATTTTGAATAACATGAGATTGAAAATTTGAATAACATAAAAATTTATGACAACTCAATACAATAAAATGAACAAAAACAAATGTGTTAAAAATTAAGCTCTCAGATCTTATAACAAAAGTTTTATAAGACTAAAAGAATTACTTTGCTACTAGAAATTTCTTCATCCAGCTTTTATCTCAAAATATCTAAATGTCGCCAACATTATTAAATTACAGACAATTTTTCAGCTTTAAAAGTTAAAACTTTACTAACATAATTTAAAATGAGTAACTATTTAGAAAAGATTTATAAGTTACAATAATTTATTTTAGTCAGACCAACAATAATTTACAAGGCAACACAGGCATCAACAAGCAACAACAAACAAAATTGCATCAATTCATCATTCAACATTTTTCCATTCAACAAGCATCCAGTTAGTGGTAAAGCCAAAGAGAATACGATGGCCAACAGTGCCTAACATTTCTGACTTTACCAAACCCTTATAGAATCAAGCATTTAACAAACATTTTTAAATCAAGCAGAATCATGACATAATCATTCAAGAAACATTTAGCATGATGCTTGTTGTAACTTATAAGTCGCCCTATAAAAAACAGAAGCATTAATAAACCTTTTGAAAAATTAGTTTAATAAACATAATAAATATGAAAAAAAAATGAAGTTACCTCTAAAGGGAAAAATCAAGACAAAATCATTCACAAACCAATTCCAATGTTTTGACTCACTGTTAAACACCCTACAAAATTAAAATTAAAATTATAAATAATGAATTTAAAATATTAATGAAATTAAAATTAAAAATAAAATCAATAATTTATTTTACCTTTAAATAGCATAATCATTAACTTCAATAAGATAATCTTCATCATTTTCCTTGGGCTCAAAACCATACAACCAGTTACGAGTTGTTACAAAAATTTCAACATTTTAGGTAAGAGTTTAGTTATCAACTTGTTCAAAATTCGACCCCCTTACTAAAAGACGATTCAGATGCAACTGAAGTAATTGGAATAGCCAATATATCTCTTGTCATGCGAGAAAGTGCTAGATAAGAAATAATTTGGTTTTTCCAATACTCCAAAATATCAAATTCAGATTCTCCAGTACGAGGGACAAGGATCAAACTGATGTAAGAGTCAACATCTGATCGTCCACTCTTTGAAGTAGCTAAATTGGCATCAAAATTCTGAAAAATAAAGAAAATAGAATAAATAAATTATAAAAATTAATAAAATAAATAAAATTGAATATGGAATTCTAAAACCTAACCTGAAATAGATCATATTTTTTAAATGATCGATGCCAATTGGAACTTGATCCTCTTTTGTCTAAAGATGTATTACTTTGGACAGAAGAAGAAGAAGAACCACAACGTGCATATTTTTTTAATAAAATACATATAACTCAAGAAACTCATTATAAATGAGACTTACCCTCCGTTGAACCTCGTCCTCTACATAAAGAACATTGTACAACTCATTCAGAAGTTGTAATTTATATCGAGTATCAAATAAAACAGCAAAAGAAAGAATCATTTAGTGATCAGACCAATATTTCACATATAGTTCAAGCATTGGTCCTGCCATTGCAGAAATACCTTTACAAGGATCATTATGAGCATAACACAATAATTTTTCCATTGCAACAATGTTAGCCAAGTACAAGTTAGAAGTAGGATACTTAGATCCAGAAAACATAGTAGTAATTTCATAAAACGGCTCAAGAAAATCACATATTGTTGTGCAATTTCCCACTCATGATCAATAATTTTATCCAACTCATTTTCCCTATTAACAAACAAGTTAATGTCTAATCTAGCCTCAAGTGCCTTATGAATCGTTGAGTAAGTAGAATTCCATCGAGTACGGACATCCAATAACAACTTATCACGGAAAGAATAATCACAGTCTTTAATAGTTAATTCAAGGCATAAAGTCAAGAGTCAGAAGAATCAATAAACTTAACAATTTCACATAATTTAATAATATAAGAATCAATTACCTTCAAACCTTTTTGAACTATCAAGTTCAAAATTTGGGCAACACATCTTATATGGAAGTACTTACCATTGTAGGGAAGAAGAGAAATGACATTCAAATCATATCTAAGTCTCTTAACCATTCTATCATTTGCAGAAGCATTATCAAGTGTTATGGTAAAAGCTTTTTTTTCAAGACCTCACTCACATACCATCTTTTTCATAAACTTAAAAATTGACTCACCATTACGGGAGGAAGAAAACAACAAAAATTCAGTATTTTTGACTGAAGTTTCTAATTATTATCAACATAATGACTAGTAAGAGCAAAATAAGAATTACCATTCATCACATGTAAAACAAATACGACTTGAAATATAATGCATTGAATCAAGCAATATTTTTTTGTTCTTTTCATGCTCTAACATGCAATACTTAGTAACAATATACCCTGATACATCCTTCACATTAGAATTATGGTTATGGTGTAAATCCTTAAGTTTTTCATGCTCAACCATACTCAATGCATAACCATGATACATAATAACCTCAACAAACAATTCATAGTATTTGTTTTTATCAAAAGAACTTATCGTACCAGAATTTTGAGCAAGATATTCCTTATAAGCTTGGCATTTCCTAGTATGCCCTCTAGGGTTAGATGTACCAATATAAGAATAGCTTTATACCTTTTATATTTGCAATACTTACACTAAACATAAATAGAACCATCGATATATTTGATGAATGTGTAATACTCCAAAATAGTAGTTCTTCTCCCAAACTCGGATGAACATGTAGCTTTCCTCTTAGAGGATTTATTGACATCAACTGCTTCGAACAATTGATCATTTAAATCCCCTTAAAAACTTATATTAGTATATATGTTATATATAAAAATTAAAAAATAATTAAAAAATTGAATAGAGTGGTAATGATGCAATTTACCTCTTTTAGAATATTGTTCATTCTAATCTGTTTGGGTTTTTCCTACATAAGATAAAAAATTATTAATTCGAATAAAAATTAAAAATATAAAAATAAAATACTCAGAAGCTTACCTAGAAAGTTCAATTAGTATGACAAACTATCTATGAAACCTAGAAAAAAAATAAAGGTTTTGAATGGACAAGGTTAATAGCCTCGATTAGAGAAGATGAATATAGACATAAGTAGATGAAAAGTCTATGTTAGATTTAGGGTTAGAGAAGCTGAACAAAATATGAATAGTCTTGGTTAGGGTTTAGGGTTAAAAAAGATAAAGAACATATTTGATTAGATTTAGGGTTAGAGGAGAAGAAGATAAACAACACTCGGGGTTAGATTTAGGGTTATAGAATAAAAAGTTAAAAGATGAACAACACTCGGTTATATCTAAAAAATAGGTTTGGTTTTGGTTTTGGGTGTTTAAAAGGATCAAACAAGGGTTTGGAGATGAACATGGATGAATAAAGGTTGAAGGTTTAGGTGTTTGATAAAAAACATGTTGGGTATTGGGTTTGGGTGTTTGTAAGGATCAAACAAGGGTTTGGGGATGAACATGAATGAACAAGGGTTGAGGATTTGGGTGTTTGATCAAAAAAATAAGTTGGGTTTTAGGTTTGGGTGTTTGTAAGGATTTAATAAGGATTTGGGGATGAACACAGATGAATAAGGGTTGAGGGTTTGGACGTTTGATCGAAAAAACATGTTGGGTTTTGAGTTTTGGTG